GGACATAGTCTTGCTTTTCATCAGAACTGCATTCCGCTCCTGCGGTTTCTGCAGGACAAACATAATCATATTAACATCAACAGCTGTAAATCCCTGCGTGTCTGAGCACAAAAAGGTGCTGCACAAATAACTTCAAGTGTTTTACTTAAATGTTTGTATCCTATAAAGTAGGTGTTAAATCTCACCTCGCAGAACTAACTTCCCCTCAGCCTGATATATTTCCATTTTCAAAACTGCTAGCTCCGCAGGTAAAACAAAGCTGCGGAGTTTTGTTTTTCAGTAAGAGCACATGGCTCTTCCATGTGTGTCACTGGTTTGTTTAGAAAATGCCTGGGCAAAAGGGCACAGTCTGTTTGCTCAGGCTCACAAGTGCTTACTGTGACGAATTGCTGACTTTGATGTGTAATATTTACAATGCCATTGATTGACTGTGAAACAAGGGGCCTTTTATTGGCGGAAAAATACTTTGTCCTTGAAATGTTGTGTTCCGCTTGTCTGTAAAATTATGCAGGAAATTCTGAGATGCACACACACGTAAACACTTTTATAGTTCTGTCTCAAAGGGGGGAAAAAGAACAAACATAACCAAACTAGACAAAAACATCATATTTAGTCCTATTTTTGTAGAATGAGCAAATATTCTTAAATTCACGAGTGGCAAAAGTAGAGTAAATCCCATCTCTCTGTATTTCATAGTACTCCTCTGTTCAGGCAAAAACCTCAAACTTCAGATCCTTTCACAACATTTCGATTGGATCGAAGTCAAGGATCTGATTTTAACTTTCCAAAACATGAATTTAATCCGTCTCTAATCATTCCTTGATGGAACATCTTGTGTGTTTACAATAGCTGTTTTGCTACATGACCCTCATTTTCTTAAGATTTAACTCAGATAAATGTTGTGATAGTTTTCTTTTAAAATTGGCTGGTTTTAGTTGAAATTAGTTCTTCCACCATCACAGAAGGGAAACGTTTTTTTTTAAATTTTCTCTCATTTTTAAAATTTGTTTCTAACTCATTTGTGTGAAACTAAAATCAGTCGGAAAAAGGATTATTGGAGAAGAGTGACTTTCTCGTTGCAGCCTAAAAAGAAGAACACAAACTTGGATTGATTTAAATCCTATTTCTCTCTGACTCTGCTCAGTTTATTCAAATTTAATCCCCTAAGTTTTAACTTCTTCCAGTCACTTCTGGAGTTCCCCAGGGCTTTATTCTAGTGCCCTTTTTGTTTAGAATCTTTCCCTCCTTGTGTAAATACAAATCAAATTCAGACAAATATTTTWAAAAAAATCACATAATTACCGTCCTTTTGTTAACGTTTTTTTGAGGCCATGCATAATCTCGCTCCTCAGTAAATTTTCAATCTTTTGAACAGTACCACACCCAGCCTGTGCTCTTTGATCATCTTCCATCCAGCTTACTGCTCTACGAGTCCATCGGATCACCATGAGGGCTCAGGTTTTGCCCCTCACAACTGAAATTCCCTTCTAACTCTGACTTTTTCTCCGTAATAATATCAATAATAAACGCCAATGTAATGGAATTTCATTCACTTAGTTTTACAAAAATGCCTGGTTTTTAATGAGTATGGTGATATGTTTTTTTTTTGTATTTTTTTCTTCTTAAAGCTGACATCAAATGAGATAATATTACCTTTCCGCAGGCAGCAACAGACTCTCTGCAGCTTTTATGGACATTCAGGAAACAGTCTGCAGACGAGGACAGAATATATTCCTGTTAATTTCACAAGTTATATGATAATAAACAGAATTACTAAACCACATACACCTCATAAAAAAAATAAATAAACCAACTTTTTATCTTTTACCACAATAAAACAAACAATGATATTTAAACGATCTCCAGCCACTTCAGCCACTACAGGACTTAAAAACAACACCAGTCCTGAAAGATTAATGCTTACTGGAGCACTGCAACAGCTCCTTCCCAAAAACAGACTTCTCACAGGCCACACAGGGAGAAGAACCAGACGGAGACACGGGAACAAACTGGTGCCTGGTAGCTGTTCCCGACTTTCCCTCCTTCACTTCTTTGCCTTTCACCTGAAAGAAAAAAATACATTTGCTGTTAAAGCAGCATTATGTAAACCACTGAAGTTATAGCACTTAGCAGCTCCAAAACACCTGTTAGAGTGAAGCTAGTAGAGCTAAAGGGGTCTACGAGTTGTATTTTTTTGTTTCTTTTGTTAGTGTTCACAGGGGACAGCTGCTGCTGCAGTGCTTTATCCTCGGGGGGCATTAGAGGATCTCTTCTGGATGTGTGCGATAGAGCGATATTTATTTTCTTCTCAAACTTGGCAAGGAAGTTGAGGAGTGTGTTTGTTTTGTTGCTGTTTGAGTACAAAGAAGCACACTTTCACACACATATACACATGTTCCTAAGAATATAGGATTACTATATAATGTGGTCTGATTTTTTTTGTCTTTTTAGGAGGAGGGGAGGGGGTGCATGTTACATAAGAGAATCTTTTCTCTGCGTCCTGTTGCTTCGTCCTGAAGAGAGGAAATGTTCCTACTTTGCCAAATAAAGGCACACCAATCAGACAATAGCACCCCCAGCAGAGGAATTCTGACCTGTCCTTTCTGAGAGCTGGTAAAACTTTTACTTCAGTGATCCTTCCAGCTCTGGTTTATTTATTTTTTTAACTAGAAAGGTCAACTTCAGGGGCTCTCAGTCACGTTTCAAACACATGTTGGGGGAAATCTCAGCCGGCTGGAGTTCTGTTTTCACTGAAACAAAGTCTGCCGCGCTGGCTCACCTTGGTTTTGCTGCGGGTGCTGGACATCCTGCTCTTCAGGAAGCTGAAGGTCCGGCTCACTTTGTACTTCTCCGACTCAACCTTCGATGGGATTATGTATCTGTCCCATTCCTCGTCTTCAATCCTGGATTTGTGTTTGTAGGAAACAAGTCATTTTCACATCACGCAGGCCAGAAATCAGCATGTGAATTCAGCATGTAACACTTTGTCTACAAAATGAGTCCTTGTTTTAGTGTTTTATTAGACTGGAAAGAGTCCACTAATCAGGAACAGTGGTGTCATGCTGGAATGAAGGAATGTTCAGACAGTCTTCCAGGACCCCTGCTCTAGAGATTATTACTCTTAATAACATGCTTGGCATGCTTGGGACTCACTATGGACTCTAGTAGTTGCTATTTATAGTATAACCTTGGCAAAACACAATTAATATCKTGTCATCTATATTTACAGCAGCTAAAGTCGGTTACAAAAAGCTTCTAGGTTAAAGGAAACACTGACAGAAGAAAGAACAGAAACATGCAACAGTCTCACTAAAGCTATATTTAAATCTAACAGAAAAGTGCTTTTATAATCAGCTACTGCACATTCCTGCATCACCAAATACAAATGCAAAGAATGCGTCTGGTTAAAGGACAAGCTGGAGGATGGTTTCAGGGTTAGGATGAGTTAAGCCACACATGCATGTCTGTGAGGCCTTTTTTGATTGTTTTTTTATTTTTTATTTTGAAGACATACTCTTTGAGGAACTCTGTGAGGGTGAGGTGTTGGAGCGACGCGGTACTCTCCTCCTCTGCTGACTGGGCCCRCTTACGGAAACCCAGAACCCTGCATGGATATAAAACACCTCAGACAGGTCGTCGTGTCCCTGCCTTTCAAAATGAAAGAAAAAAAAAAAACGGCTAGCGACGATTTAGAAACTACTTCTAGGATTAATTACTTGGGTCAGTGTTTAAATAATCATTGACCTAAAAGTACTTTAGCAAACACTTGAGGCATATTGATGTCTTGTTATTATTAAATATTTATTCAGAGAACAAACTAATTGGTGAGTGTTGTGATTCTATTCATTTGTAATGCAACAACAGAAAGATGTAACGTTATAGCTGAACTGCCTACAGTGTTCTCTCTTTTAGCAGAGCATGGTTATTAGCAAGAAAAATAATAAAGTGCCTGTGACATCAAWTTTTTTGTTATACATATGAAYGTTTTTATAGAAAGAGGACACTGGTAAAATATTGCAAAAGAAATTTCATGTCGCTGAGAYGAACAGTTGTTGAGATATTTGCCTGTGAAGTAACAGGAAGTGATGTCAAARGGGAATATCTRCATGTRAACAGAGCGTTGCTAAAATGACCAACAACCCAGACTGTAGAGAAGAATCTGATGTTTCTTAAGATTATTTTGAATCACTATCAGAGATGAAGAAGAGTCAGAGTTCAAATAATATTGTTTCAATAAACAAAGACCAGAGAGTTTTTTTTGTTAAAGAGTTCCCCTTTGATGTCACTTCCTGTTTCACTTTGGCTGAGCCAAGTTCAAAAGAAAATATGCCAGTTATGAGACATAATGGGTTAAATCGTGTGTATTATTTCAACTTTCTTAAATATAAAGATGTTTTTTGTTTTTACTTTTTATATTTGAAGACTATGAATGTCACAGACATTTTAATACATGATGAATTTATGATGCAGTGGGATGAAATTGACTGTAAAATGAGCATGAACGAATGAGCAAATCGTGTTACATGATAAATGTTAATTCAGAACAACTGTTAGGATCTACACTCMGGATAAAAACTACAATATGTTGATCACTACATTTCAGGATCCTTGATGTGGTCTRCAAAACAGAAAGACATTTCTAAAGTCTGACATCCAAGAAAGCCCAAAGTTTTTGCTGTTTACTCTGGGTTATTTTGAGGTTGCAATCAGAGAATAGTCTTGCCCCTGCCTCGCAACAGGAAGCATGTCATATCCTGCACGCTAAGACCCTGGCCACTTTAAAACCAGAGAGGCACAAACACACAACCCCCCACATGTGTACACACACGCAGRCTCCATCTGAGCCAATCTCTGTTCTGCCGCTCAACACTGATGCCTAAAAAAGGGAGGAACATCTGAGGGAGACCAGCTAAGCAGACCTCACGTGAGCTCATGAAATGACTAGTTTTACCTTTTTTCTCTCGGGGTTTCGGTCAGGTTGAACGCTCTCTGCTCTGTGGGGGAGAAGAAGTGTGAAAAAAACAAAACAAGCTGGGTTACTTCACGAATCAGGGGAGATCAGCTGACAGAATTAGAAAACATCGACCTCGCTTCCATTCAAATTCAGTTAGAGATAAATACATGAATCACACAAAGAGTATGGATCCCGCAAACCTCAACAGAGCAAAAGAAAAAACACAACCTTTCCCCGAAGCAAAACAGATGACAGAGAAGATAGAAAAAAATACCAACACAGAGGAAAACAGAACGTGACCAAATAGAAGCAGAACAAAACCCTCAAATCWGAAGTAATTTTTCCCCTCAGATGATCCACAGGAGCTGAACAATTTTCCAAACCCCCAGTTCTTTACTTGTCAGTCCTTATATGGCATTTTTATAAATTACTTTTGGGAAAACTATTATTTTAATATTCAAGGGAAAGAATATTCAAGTTTGGGAAAAGGTCTGCTTTTGATTACCGGACAAGTGAAAAGACTTTTTTTTTCATAGTGAGACAGTGGTCTCGTCCTGACCACAAAGAATGAAATCTCCCCACAGATGCAGAGCTGCACAATTAGGGCAACGATGGGAAACTGTGCAAAATTGACTCTGTAACAAAAAATGGGCAGAAGAATTCTCTGTATCACAAAGTTTAATTTTAAATCTTGAACAAATATGTTTATTATAGCGGACAGGAAAAGGCTCAGATATATTAGGTTTGCCTTTTAATCATGCAGCTCTGGATTTGTACATGTCCATCCCAAGGAAAGAGCTGAAAGACCCAYGGAAAAGTTTTCACCAGACAATCAACCTGCAGTTTGTTCGACACCGTTCTTGTACTTACTAACATGGTTGAGGCGAGATAGGGATTTAGAGAGAGATAAAGCCTGAAGTAGAGACCGACCACTGCTGCTGAAACGGCCATCTACACAGAATAAAGCATGAACTTAATGCTGCATGCATTCGCCTCCCTGAGTGGGTTGTGTGTACCCTTATTGAACCTCAGGTGATGCAGAGCCACTTGTTTGGTCTTTCCTCGTTGAATATGTTTTTGTTTTTTGAGAACAGAGAGTTTAAAGTTTACCCACCTTCCTCCAGGTCGGTGACAGCTGCGTCTCTGTTTAGCAGTGGCCGTGAAGGCTTCGCTTTAGGGGAGGAGTAGGAGTAGGAGCGCAGACGGACTTCTGCATCCTCTAAATTCTGAAGAAAAAATTAATAAATAAAAATGCACCAGAAAAAAAAACAAAGAAGTTCACAAGTTCAGTAAGAGAAGAGAGACACTAGGAGATAAGCAAAACTCTGCAGGACAAACAGACCCATCTCTGACCTTTTGTCCACGTTATTGAACTGTTGACAATGTGAGCTTATCTACTAATGACTGTCTGCAAGGGAAGCTGTGTCTGAAGGAGGATTTGTTTTGTGCAATGGAGTTCAACCTATTGTATGAAATCTTGGATTTAAAGGGGCAATATCATGTAAAATCAATTTTTTTGAGTTTTATATCATGTTATAATGTTATACTCTCATAAAAAAAACACGCCCAAAGCCTTGCTCTGACTCATTCATGCATGTTTGAGAAATCCTGCAGCGNACTGTAGATACTTTACTATGTATAGTATTTAAATGTATGCCTGAGAAACACATAATATTGCCCCTTAAAATATTCATCGAAATACTGAAAGTACTGAAATCATCTCCTTTCACACGTTTGATTTTAATGTTTGAATATTACTCATTTTCTTCAAACATTTGCATCAAGCCAGTTTTTACCTGGCTGCATTTCTGTGTGACGTCAGAGCGTGAGCGATTAAAATCAGGCGACGTATCGAAGGAGTCTCTCTCCTCTCCGGAGCTGGACCGCAGAATGGACCTTTGCTTTACTGCTGAACAGGGATATGAGCGTCCCAAAATGTCGTCGTCTTCGCTGTCACACTCCAGACTGGGGCTGTTTACACACAGAAAGACATAAAGGTGAACCTCGCGAGCAGAATGCTAAAATATGTGACGAACGCCAATTTAACAAACCTTAAGTTGGAAACAAAAGATAAGAAGAGGACTTAACAGCACCCTGTTCATGAAAAGCTGCATAATTTTGCAGAGATTAAAGCCCCGATCTATAAAAACATCAACCATTAATTTCTACCAACCTTTAATACTTTTAAAAAGTCTTTGCCCTTCAACTGATGGTTAAAGATTCAGCAGAAAACGGGGTCTTACCTTAGACATCGGTTTGCTTCTGTCGAGCTGCATCCTCTGTGCTTCTCAGCTGGAGAAAGTGGAGGACCCATCTGAGACTGACGCCTCTCTGCTCCCTCGAACAAAYGGGCGGCGGAAGCCGAGGGAGAGGAAGGAAAATACGGAGAAGGGGGAGAGACGCCAGGGTTTGCCTCCTTGTGATTKTCCGGCCCGGGGCCCTGACTTCCCCTCGGCCCACGGTGCGGTGGCRAGTGGGAACGGCTCTGAGAGGAGTTCTCTGAGTGGAAGGGAGGCGAGGGGAAAGAATCCCAGCAGGACATAGCGACAGGACTGACCTCCTCTTCTTCCCCCAGAGAGCGATACTTCACATCCGAGTCGTCCACCTGGAGAAGAAAAGTGAGGAAGTCATGAGAAGAACTGTAGATCTGCAGCTCCGCTCATACAATTTTACATGTTATAATCTAAAAAAACATCTACTTGAACTATAATAATGCTGTACATTGTATATGTATTTTTAACTTTATGAGAATTAAAAGCTGATCCTGACTTACCTGATCGACCAGCATGGCGTTGGCGTACACTTGGTCTTTCCCGTGGATCATCGCCGACAGTCTGGCAGCGGCAGCCAGAGTCGGGGACGAGGCCTGGCTCTCCCTGATGGACTGACTTTTCTCTGCACACAGAGGGGATTTTTCAATATTACATTTGGTCTCCACAGCAACAGCAAATAACTTCACACAAACACGGGAAGTGACGTAGACATCCTGGGCAGTTGCATGTCATTGTTCAGCACCAAGGCTCTCTCCAAGACTCGCTCCGTGTGTGTGTGAGTCTTTGCATCCATGTGCATGAGTGGACGCCTGTAGGCATGTTTCTTCACCACCCCTGCTTTTAGATGCAGCGACTGAGCGACCGTGCAGCGCTGAGGGCAACTCTTCAAACACAGTGGAGTCACTGTGAGCAGCAGGCTGCTTTTCCTCTTCAACAAGAAAAAAAACATGCCTGCTCTCAAAACACACACACATCTCCCTCATGCTCGTWGCTCTACACAAAGCCCACCTTCTTCACAACACAGTTTTCTAAGACTATTCCAGTCTAGAAATAGCACATGCACATAAACAATGGGTGGCTGCATGTTAGCAGCAGCGGCTGCGTGCACAACAATACGACTTCGAGGAGACATTTAACACCACTGAGGCTTTTATTGTTTAAGCTTATCTCAACACAAACAGACAAACTAAAGTTCCTTAAATGTTAAGTAAACACAAAAATGTGAGCATGTCCATTTCAAACAGCAAACTTCAGCTGCTGATTTTTATCAGGAGAATGATCAAACGGTCCAGGTTCTCCAGACATTTAATGTTTTCAGGGTAAAGAAAATAAAAAAAGCTTTTTTGAAACTTCAGGGTGCTTGTAATGATTGTTTTCTGTTTTTGTTGCGTTTTATAAGATGTTTTTATCATTAATTAAATTTTGTCTTGTTTAATTAGAATTTAAATGTTATATATTTTTTTCTACAGGAAGCTCTCTTATTGGTGAAGGAATGTGTTTTTGAGCAGGGGGTTAACCTACACCAAGCTGTGACCCCATCCCACATTACTCCCCATCTCTCCCAAAGCCATGCTCAACCTGTATCTACTTAATAAAATAATAAAATAATRTAGCAAATAGTTATAAAATTATTATTTGGAAAGGGGGAAAAAGAACTGAGTTTTACAGAGTTTTGATTATTCAAATGGACTTGTTTTGATGATTTTTATGTATGAACCACTGGTTTGGAGGATCTATTCATTAGTGAAACACATTACAGGAGTTTTTGCTGCCACCCCATGTAAAAAAGTAATAATATTATTTTTCATTAACTCCATAAAGTGCTTCTGATTCTTTTCTACTGTTAATTACTTGCTTTGCAGTTGTAGCCCCAAGGCTCTACTCTCTGCCTTTCCATCGTTCTTCTGTGGTCTCAAAAACAGCTGAAGATCTGCTCTTTGTGGTTTCTTATCTTATTGTTTTCATTTCTTAGCTTTCAGTCTTCCTTCTACTGTGTAAAAAGCCTTGTGTTTTTTTTAAATCTAGGAAGACATTTAATAAATATTACTTGTATTTTTTATGAGTACATTCCCCTTTTTAAACTTTGAGCATCAAGAGCACCCATGTGAGACTTCTACATGACCCTGCAGCACGTCTAAAACCTTTGTTTTTATCAAACATGTTCTCTGGTGTCATGTCAGCATGTTTTGTAGCATTTTTAGTTGAAGATACTTTAATCATCTAGCCTTCTCACAGCTGCACTGTATTTGTTGATGTGAGTGAGTGCAGCGTGGCAAAAACGAAAAATGTTCGGTGAACTTAAAAAATGTTACTCAAGGCAACTTATGATAATTTTGTCCAACACTGAAAATGTCTACGTTGAAGATAGAATTAAAGAAATCTACTGTTGGCCTCATTTGGATGTATACATACTGTAATGCTAAGGATTAGAGTGAATATATAACCTGTGTGAGTAATTTATTCACAACAAAACAATCATAAGTCGCCATAAATTGTCTAAAATGTTATAGTGTGACCTTCAGGTCGAAGATGACTTGATTTCAAACAAATAATCTGGTCAAAATATCCAAATTTGAGGTTATAAGAGTAGAAGTAGAACAGAACAAAAAGAAAAGAGGAAATGATAATGACGGGTCAGAATTGTTGTATTTTCTGGAGTATTGATTTTGTTTTCAAATGAAGTCATGGGTTTTTCTGTTTTGTGTTGTAATCTGAACCTCAGAGCTTCTATAAGATGTTGTATTCTGCTGAATATTAACTTTCTGATGACATTAGCAGAAGTTGCCGCATCAGCTCAGGTAGAACTCTAATAACAGCCTCAGATTACAATGGTTAAATCACAGCTTAAAATATGCCAGAGGGGTAAACACATGTCTATCACTGCTTTCAACACAACTCCTTAAAGCGTGATTTGAAACGGTCTTCTTTAAAAAACAAATCTATACTTTATCCATCACGTCGCGAAGGAGCTGCCAGCGCAGCCGAGCAGAAGAAGAGACGTCCAGAGAATAAATCAGACCAACAATTGGCTGTGCTTCCTGTGGGCAGCAAGTCACATAAATCTGAGAGGCAGCAGGGAGCCGAGCAGACACTGATGAGGACACCAGATGATTCCCGTCACATCCACATTAAATCTAAATGAATTAACTCCAGCTGAACCTGCAGAGTGTATACAGAGATTACTCCACATCATCTGTCACTCTCCAAAATCCTCAAGTGTCCCTCAAATGTGAAACAAGACAGAGTAAACTCCCCCAAATCCATAATACCTGCACAGAATCAAGACAGACCTCTCAACTTTCTATCAGGACTTGCTCTGGTCCAGCATCAGATCCACATGGGGGGTCAGGGCCTGGATGTTTGAAAGTAGATACCGTTTCATATAAACCCCCCGTCAGCGACTTGACAGACAGACTTAATAGCTCAGGTTCTGGGCTCAGTCCAAAGCCACAGCTGGCCGCCATGGGCTCACAATTATTCATACACCTCTGACCCAWAAACACTGCCTCGGTGAACATTACTGTCAGGCTGTGAGATCTGTGTTTAACATCAGTTAACTGGTGAAATAACAACAAAGCGGGCGACTCATACTCCCAACAACTTAGAGGAGTACATGTCCATATTGTAAAACCTAAACAGGATTATTTATCACCAGCCACTGAAAGGCAAAGTTGGCTGATAATGTTTTTACTCATGTCTGTTGGTAAAATATCTCATTAACCACTGGGCAGATTTAAAATGCCTTCTAAGATCTTTTGGCAGAGGAAAACACCAAAATGACCACAACTCAATATTATAAATGTTGAGTGAATACRTGGCGTGGTTGTAGCTAATCATTACCTCCAACACGTACTACGAGCACTTTACATTGGACTGCAATTTTATTTAAAACCTGGATATTAACTGTTGGGAGTCGATCATGTTTGTCCGTTAGCAAAATATATCATACATCACTGGATGGATTTTAATCTGTTAATCTGTGGGCTTAACCCCAACCAATTAAATGAAGTACTGCTCTTGAACTCTTTGGCGTACATTCACAAGCTTAGTCTCTATTTAAAGCTACCAATCTGAATTTTTAATTTCAGCAGTCATAATTTTGGTAAATATAACTAATATTTAGTTACTGAAGTTAAAATACACTTTAACCATGAACTTTTCTTAAAGGGGCAATATTATGTGTTTCTCGGGCATATATTTAAATTCTATACCATAATAAAGTAACTATGTCACCTTCGGTTGTTATTAAAATGCTGTTTATATGTTTAAATAGAAAATAAATTTGACTTCTCATCATATCTGTTTCTAAACGCCTTGAAATTGGCCTCTGTCTTTTTAAGAACAACCTTTCGCCTTTGTTCCACCCATTTCAGCACGGGTGGGTGTGTGTCCTCTGTGATGAGGAAGCTCAGTTCGTAGAGATGGGATAAATGGCTCTTTGAAGGAATCCAGTTCTTGCAGAGCCATTTATTTCATAGAGCAGTTCAAAAGAGATTTTGAACGTATACGTCATCACGTAGGAATACGTCATCAAGAAGCCGTATGTAATGACGTAACCCCATCACGTGGGTGGAACCATGTGTTTGTTAAGCGGAAACCCCCCTCCCTCTTTCATCGTGAGCTTCTGTACTCCACAACTCCGCCTGTTTTCCATGAAAAGGCAAAGCGGGAGYGATTTAAATATGAAAAAAATAAAGATTATATGAGGAATAAACAAAATAAAACTACAAATGGCTTGTTACTGCCCGCCATTCGGCTCCTGTCGTTCGTTGAAAAGAGCCCTTCAAAAGATTCGGATCGTTCGCGAACGTCACATCTCTACAGTTCAGAGACACAGCCCAGAAGAGGAGCTGGTCCCAAAAGACGGTTCTAGTCCCAACTGGTCATTTTTGCTCCCCTGCCTGGCTGCCTCAGGACACTATAGGATTTCTCAAACATGCATGAACGAATCAAAGCAAGACTCTTGGCATGTTTTTGATGAGAGGATAACGTTATAACATGATATAAAGCTCAAAAAAGTTGATTTTACATGATATAGCCCCTTTAAACTTCCAAAACCGCTTATCGAATAAGAGGAAAAATTGGCTATGCAGATGTGGTATGCTAGTCCTTCCTTTAAGTTTGATTTTTGCTTATATAAGGTGAGTATTTGAAGTGACGGAAGCTCGTAAGTGAGAGCTAACCCTGTATGGTAGCAGAGGCTGGAGCAGCAGCGGAGTGAAAAACAATGTCCAGTAGCTCTGCAGAGACTAAGACAAAGACAGCAGTCAGGCAGGGCCAGGTTTCCAGACCAGGGCAGTTAAACACACAGAGGGTGACCCTTCAACTTGTGCACACCCCTGGGAGAAACAGACGAGGAAAGCAGGGTGAAGGCTTTTCACAAGAGCCTTTTCTTTCTGAAGAAGCTGTGTGGTAATACCCCCCCCCCCCAATAATTAAACATAAATACATTTATTAATAATTATATAAACACCTTAGCTGATTTATTTGGTTGTGAAAGAACTATTTTTCCATGGTGAATCTCCCCTTATGATGTGAGTTCCTTTTTTTAAACAAATGTCACTTTGAAGAGAGCAGAAAGAAAAGAAGAAGAAAATGAAACAACATTCAAAAAGAATAACA